CAAGAAGAGTGTTGCTAGGTGATGAGAAGAGAAATAACATTATTTTGGTCCCACTTCATTTTTTCCAGCCAAAGAGCGAACGGAGGATTTGGAACAGTTACTGTACCTTGTCTCTCCATTTCTTTAGCCTCAAAATATTCTGGTGCTCAGATGCCTCATATGTCCTTGAGCTCACTACTATTTGCATGCTTATATTTGGCATAATCTTGAAACCATCTTCACGTTGACAAAATTAACAAAACTGTGTTCTTAAAAAACAATGTGAACAATTAGCGAGCTCATTTCTGTAGTTTGCATGCATTTAAGATGAGGTGGGCACTCCTAAGATTATTACAGGCTAGCTTGTGTTATTCATGGCTGTTCACATGACAAAGAGAGTGCTACATGATTAGAGACTGTGAACAAACGTACACAATTTCTGAACTGACATCTCTCTCCCCATGACACATCCCTTTAGCTTGCCTCACTTGTGATGTGATGCAACAGGACGTGTTTGATGTAGCATTAAAATCTTAAAAAATGGGCTTTTCAAAACTGTCTTCCATTTTGTCGCAAGCAGTTTCAAAGAGTCACATATAAACCCATACACAGATTTCGTTTCCTTTATTCCCACAATTCCCTCACTGGTGGGTTTTTCTTTAAAAGTCTAGCAGAAGACTGTATGCAATGTCTCTGTTCATAGCTCTCTCATTTCTTAGTTAATTGTAAACCCTCATGTTAACTAAAACTTTTTTGGGGAAGGTTATGTTATTTTTTCATCATGCATAGACAAATCAGGTATGATAACTCTCTCATTTTTGTAATTAAGTGGCCTAATGTAAAAATCCTGGGGTGTACAAGTGGGCAAAGCCCTTTCAAGTTACAGGCAGTGAGCACAATTCTGGGCATACACAAGTAGATACTCATTACTCCTATTGCTATCTACATAGCATGAACACATTGTGAGCTCCAAGACACCTATAAACAAATGATTTGTCTGTGAAACAGCAAGAACTATAAAACTCCAGGTGCTGTGGAAGAAAGCAGAGAATGGCCCATTGTGTGTATAAATTCTGGCATACCTCAGAATGGAGAGCCTTCATTATTTCATAATCCTAATCTGAAGAACAGAAGAGCCTCAAGTGTTCTTGCTATGTAGCACATCTTAGTCACAGACCAACTTTAATCCATACAAGCCAAGTATGGTCGTCAGCACAGATTCTAGCTCAGCAGCTGCCAGGGTTTGCTGTGCCCCGAGCCACGGATGAAGCGATAACGGCTGGAGGGCTTTGCTCCTTTCCTGCAGCTGATTGCCAAACGGAGAGAATTGGATCCCTTGGACTTTACCATAATGCTGAGCTCTTACTCAGCCTTCCTCACGTAACACACAGCAACTGCTGCACAGTTTTGTTACATCTCTTTGCCTAAGGCCTGAGCATGCTGACAACCTCTCTAACCCACAGTTTTCTATGGTAAATTTGGCTAAATATGTTTGATCCTGTGAGAAGACTACGCACGTGTATATTCAATTCAGTGGAACCTCTGTTAGCTGAGACTGAGCCAACTGTTTGCCCAGAACTGCTTTTTGTTCCTGAAATGTGCCAGAAGATCTTCCTTTGACTAATACTTTTCATGGCTAGTTAAGTGCAAATAGGTGAATAACTCATGAGACAGATAGCTCACTGGGAATACTTGCTTTGCTTTGCTGGTCTCTACAGGATGATGAATAGAGCCATAGGTTTTTCACCACTGTACCTTACGCTATCAGCCTGCATTTGTCATTCCACCAAAAGCTGCACAACAGCAGGTAAAGGTGTTATGAATGTCATTAATTTTAAGGCAAAGAACAAGAAAAACCTAGCATTGCCTTATGCATTTAAAATGCTTTAAAGTGCTTCAGTTTATCCGTGCTACTTCTGTCAGCCTGAACAACTTACACCATCATGTCATACATGTCTCCAAGGGTACCAGAGGTATATTTCCAGTATCTTGTTGAGTAGAAATGTTTGTGTGTAAGTCCATATTCTCGAGGTCAACTAATACACATTTGATGTATTCCTTAATTTGAATGCCCATGTGCACACAGGTCAAATTTTGCAAATAAGGTGTACAGGTAGGATAAATAAATGGCCTAAATCATGTCCTTTCTGCTTCTGTACTTTATATTTTTTCTCAGAACATAATCTAAAACAAACTCTCAAGTCCAAATGCAGCTGTCAGACTCCCTCAGCTTTCCATAAAAGTTACGTGGGCAACTAAACTGTTCCTTTTAAATGTGACAGCAGTAAACCACACTGCATTGCAGCTAACAGTGATGAGTTTGAAAAGGGCTCCAAGCACCTCCTGAAATACCTGCTTTCTTACTGAAGGTCTCTTGGGTACCTTCAAAAGTATTTTCTTTGAAAGTTAGTCTGCTGTAAGTTAGCAGACAAGGTAGAAGAATAACATTAGCAAGAGCATCTGTGTGGTGAAGCAGCATGCAGTCCAATGTTAAAGTGACACGGCACGTGGATCTCTGAGATGATGCTGATGTAGAAGAAGCCAAGCAGTGGTACACTGCTTAACTGTGAACAGAGTGGTCTGAGTACCTTGTGGCAGCCAAATGTGGTGACCTGGGGTTTCTGTATTCAGCTTTGGATTCCCCACAGCTGAACCTTCTAAGGACCAAATCAATTTGTAGAAATATTTTGATGCTGGAAAAACCCACACAGATTATTGGGAAGCAGATTCCAGTACAAATTCTGAAAGCCTATTTCATGCAGTTTTCCAGCTCATTTCATCTTCAGGTAGCCAACTAGTTAAATGGATCTAAAGCAGCAGGTGAAAAGAAAACGAAGTTAATCTGCTTTGAGTAAGTTTCCCTGTCTCCCTCTTAGTATTTCCTTCTCTCACTGTGAATTTCTCAGGAGTTTTTTCAGTCCTTAGGTCCTTCAGTAACAGGCAACCACGGCATTCTTGGTAATTAGAGCCACAGTGCAGCTGCAGCAACAGAAAAACAGCAACCCTTTGTGTTACTATATAAAACTGATTAGGGAACAGGCCCATTCAGGACAAATGGACTTATTCTGAAGTGTGCTGGACCTCCTCAGGTCTGGCTGTATCAGACTCGGTGCTCTTGGTTGGGCCTTGTTTTCCACTGCTCTGTTAACTCTAGCCCCATCCTCAGGAGGTTTGAATCAGAAGAACTGCCCATCTCCATGGGTTCATGCCAAGTCATACAGCTCTGAATCATCCCCTTATCTGCTTTAATTCAGCAAATTTGTGTTTTCCTGCTAGTGTAAAAAATTTAAGTTGCTGCTCTTTACCAAAGCTGCTGTTTTGTATTCCCATAATTCAATTTAGATTACAGAGTTGAAACATTTTATTTTGGCTCATCTTTTCTACTCTCATTTCCTCTGGAATGCAAACATTTCCTGTATTTAACCTAGCTCTTTAATTTTTATTTTTTTTTATCATATTGGAAACTAAGATATTATTCAAGTATATCACTATTATGTATATTACTATTGTTAATACTGTATATATAATTTTATATTATCAATATTATTATTATTATTATTAATATATTATTAATATAATTAATATATTAATATTATTAATATTACCATTGTTTATCATGCCTCCTTTGAGTAAAAAGGAGATGTTTGTTTTGTTAGAAGGCGGTTTACATATTTAATTTGTTGAAAAAGTTGCAAGTTGCTTATTTAAGCTGCTGACAAAGGTCCAAAAACAGATCAGATTTTGATCCTGAAGGAAGCTGGTTTTTTGACTATATATATATGTATTTTTTTGCATGTGTGCCATTTTGCAATGCTTTTATAGACCTTCTCCAGCAGCCTTGGAAAAGAGGCTTAGCTGATGGCTGACCTGACTTAAGTATCTACAATGTCAGTGATGGAGACAGAGTGAGGGAGATTGGGAAATGGCTAGGAATTAGGAAATTAAACTCCTAAACACTCATTCAGGCATCTCAGTAGAAAAGGAGCTTGATTTTACGGGAGTGCTCAGCACTGTTCCTCTCCCATCAAAGGAAACATGCTGATGCGTGATGCTGATCGTAGTAAAAGGGCACTTTTTGGGTTCAAAAAGGACAAATCAAGGATCTAATCAAGGAGGGGAGTTAAAGAGCCACAGTTTGCCTTGATTTGAGGACTACCTTGTATGCATATGTTATGGCATAGAGAAGATCAAGTACATTCTGGTGTTGGAAAAGAGTTTATTTTTCTCTACTTAGTCTCTCTTAATGGAGCAGACACTGGGACATGATTGTGCATGGAGTCTAACATCCTAAATCATTCCGAAAGTAATGCCTCCTATTTATTTCCATGGACACTACAACAGATACAAAGAGCACAATACCATTACTTGATAGAACAAATTCTCAGCTACAAAGCTCTCTTTTTCAACAGTCACCATCACTAGCTGTGTGTTTTCAATGGCGATGAACAGGAGCCTGCATGTCGTACTCAACAAAATCTTACCAGCAGAGGTGACCCACAGTCACCATTGCTGAAGCACACCATCCAGCCCTCACCATGCTCACATCCACTGTTAATCTCCTGAGTGTTCAGCAAGCACTGATAAATGTCAGTGGATGCTGTTTTTCCCACACGGAGGAATTCAGTGGCACACCTGTGCTATATATGCACTTCCACATCAGATGCCATTTTGTTAGACTGCCCCTCTGCTGCCGTCTGTCACATGGCAACAGAATATAAAGGAATATTGGTGGGAAGGTTCTACTGCTGTACCACCAACATCCTCCTCTGGCATCATGGACCAACACAGTAAAATAGGAGTCATTGCTTTTGGTGCACTTCTATTTTGTTGGCAGTACAGTGGTGGATCTTCACATATAATTCACTGCTAGTTATTGGCAAAGAAAATTTATTACTTACTGTGATCAGTCAGAAGAAGGTGCTGTGTGGAGATCCATCAACCATCCTCACTGCTTACAGATGGAGGATTCACATTGGCACCTTCTACCTCGCTGTTCATCACTGGTGCCAGTCTTCTGTGTTCTGACATCAATCCAGGTTGCCTCTGAAGAAGGTGCCATGGAGCACGTTGCCTGCATGAGAAAAGGAGAGCTTCTTTTCAGATACATCTTTATGTCCAAGTACATACAGAGGACAGATAGTTTAGACTGCACGAATTGCACGTTTGGCATGTAGGTTTAAGACCTTCAGGTTGGATATAAATGAATTCTAGAGCTTTACACACATCTCAACACCTGCTAGTAAATAACTGGCTTGCAATCAAGTGATTCCCATTCTCTGTAACAATGCATCATATTTCGGTCTTCCTGCAAAACAAGATTTTATTTTAAAGTTTTAATAAACCACAGTCAGTTCTCGGTCCTTGACTGCTTAAGGCAGCAACAGGAGCATTGCACTGGCAGTGAAACTGTCCAATTTTCCTTAGAGGACACACATGCCTGTTATTAGATATGGGGTGAAAAATCTCTTAGCTTATTTTAAACTTTTTCAGTGGTTTCTTCCCACTAAATACTATAAAACTTGGATTCAGCAGTGCTAATACACTCGACTTAGTGATTTCAAAGGAAAGTGGAACACTCTCAATATAGGGGGAAAAAAAAGTCAAAATAGTTGCTATACAAAGCAGCTCTCATGTTCTATCAGTCTCTGAAAAAAAATAATAACATTGCCAAGGTGTTTATTCATGCTAAGCTAACACTACAGTATTCTCATACATCACTTCAGGACTGTGAAATCATACATTATAAGCCCACAATACTAAAAATAACAGAATAAATCCACTTTGAGTATAGGATTTCTAATCTTTTTATGCCCATTATATGGGAAAATGCACTTTGAGAGAAGTTTTCAAGCTCTTGTAAATCATCATCAGTTCACTGCAGAAACGTCACCGTTGGTTCACAGCAGCATTAGGGTATTAATCTACCTGTGCACTTCGTAATACTTTGGTTTAGTGTATGACTTAATATGTTAATCTCCTCCAAGTGGAAAACTTCTGTGCACTGAAGGCATCTGTCTGTGCTTCTTCCATTCTTTTGGTGTCTGGTTTTAGATGCGGAATAAGACCACATAAACCAAAGGATGTTCAGTCATTAGCCTGTGGCAACATTTTTTCTGTTACATCTGTAAGACACTGTGACTGTGGATGCTTAGGCAATGTCTAAAGTCAGTCTGACAGCATCCCAGTATAACTACAACCTATTTCTCCTTTTTCAGCTGGTCAAGCCTGCCCTGTTATTCTCTGGGACTCTTCCCTGAGTCCGACCGATAACAATACTCACTCTTCAGTGAGACTAACCTGGGGAAAATATCAGCAACTACTGAAGCGGAAATGCTGGCAGAATGGTAAAGTTCCCAAAGATGAGTGGGGCTGCACTGAAATCCATCACCATGAGTGGTCCAAGATGGCAGTCTTCGATTTTCTTCTGCAGGTAGGCATTTAATGAACACATATCTGCCTCAAAAATCACAGAAACACACGTGGGATCTTAGAAAACTCTTCTTTTTTTTTTTATTAAATGCACAATCTGAACTTGCTCCTGGTTACATTTGATTAAAACGTTCAAAATGACTCGTAGTCAAGGAAAGATCAGAAACCAGACTGACCCACTTAGAGATGTTTTGTATTACTTCACCTCTGAGGCAGGCAGTGTTTCTCTGCACATGGTTCTTGACAGTGTTCACAGCTGTAAAACACTTATGATAAGAAAGGGTTCAGCTGCTTAGCTTTGGTCAGGTGAAATTGGGGTCAAGACAAGAGCTGTGGAAGTAAATTTCCTGAGTTTTTACAAATTTATCATTGATTTAATGTTTAGACTTAATGACCATAGCTGCTGTTTTTCAGTTAGGTATTGCGCATCAGCATTTGCTTTCCAAGCAGCACCACACTAGGGCTTTGTCCTGTGGTATCATGATGTGAATACAGTTACGCAGCAGGACATTAATACACTCTCTGTATTAATAAGGACTGAGCTGAACTAACTATATATGGCTGGCAGCTGATTTTATACCTCGCTTAGCATTGCTTCCAATTGTCTCTGCCTGCCTCCTGCAGCAATTACTGACGTCTGTAAAGCTATTGGTATTTAAAATTGAATTTAGCACTGTGATTGAGCGCTCACATAATTCAACTTTTTAATAGAGTTTCATTTCTTGAAATATAAGAGTCATTCTGCCTTATGAATAGCCTATCTCTGCCCTTCTCAAGTCTGTTATAGGATTAACAAACGCTTCCTATGCTTGCATTTTTGCAGTCTTGTTAAACAGAGCATGAAATTTTCCTCTGAAAATATATTGTTGGTTGTTTAAAGACTCCATCTTTAGTTCTACTATGAGCAAGAAACTCTTAGAAAGTAGCATAAAGTCACACATGGATTACTTTGGTTCTAAACATAACACAATATACCCCAAACAGAAATAAAGCAGAATACATCAGTTAATTTTCTCATGCCAATGTTTTCTTGTTGAACAGTTTAAAAATTCTTAGCAGTTCTGTGCTGTTTTTTAATTTTAAGATCTTCTAGGACAAGTTTTTAAACTTCTTAAGGGAATTCCTGTTTTCTAGAAGGAGAGGTCAGTTAAAAAAAACCATTCTATTCTAAGATGGAATTTTTATCCTCTGTGCATATAAGATTGAATAAGAATGAATAATTCAGAAAATAGAAAGGGAATTTGAAGAACTAAGGTACCTGTGTAATGTGCTTACAGGGGCTGTGCTATGGAGATAATCTAACATCTCAGAACTTGAGGGGCATAAGCACCATGATGGTATGAGACTGTTCAAGATAGTTAAAGAGGCCCTCAGATGTAATAATCTTAAATTGGTTCAAGAAAAAAAAAAAGCCTTAATAGTCTAAAGCCCAGTCTGGTAAACTACACAACACTGCTGTAAAAAAGTGCTTCATAAATCATTTAGTACTACAGTGAAAGGTTAAACATAATTCTATCAAAGAAATGCCTTTGGTGCTCTTAAAGAGGTTCCTAATCTCTGGATTCAAATACTGTAAACCATAGGAGCAGGCTGACAAATGCTTGTTTTTGGCCTTTGCTTGCCTTTTTCAAGAACTCAGGTGGAGTAAGGACACAAAAAATAAAAATGAATTCAATTTTTGTGTGCATACATAAATATATATCAAAAATCAGTAGCAAGCTGTTAAGGTTCCAATATCAGTTCCAGAGTATCACCTTGCTCTGTTTTAATGCTGTAATGTTGCAGTGCATGCAGAAGGCTATCTGTAAGAACACAATCTACTTGTCTATTTAACACACGCAATGAAATGTGGTGAGGATGAAATAGGGTTATGTACAAGAGGAATCTTGAAGCTGCTCCTTCACTTTTGGACAATGAATTCTATGGGAAATGAGGTAGGATGCTTCAAACAACACTCTTTTGTTCCTGCTCAATGCTGAGCAGCAGAAAAGAGAGGAAGAAATCTAGTTCTTCTCCCAGGATTCTCTCAGTTGAAAATAAACGCTCCTGCCAAGACCAGTGGCAGCAGTGCTACATGCTTCAGACGAAAAAAGAGCTCTCAGGCTTTCATTTGATGAACAATAACAGGAGACCTTTCAAACATTTATCAGTTCTCCATCAGAAGTCACAGTACTTCATTTCACTGAGGTGCCAAAAAATAAGACTAATTTTAGAAGGCTTTGTGCTTACAGGAGCAGTATCATTTTCACGCCTAGAGCAGTTTTAAAGGTTAACACTACATAGTGAACAAGAAGGGCAGAAAAAAAGCATTACTATCAGTTAGTTTATTCACGAAGTCTAAATGCATCTTACCTCATTCCTGCTCCCAAAACACCTATGAATAAGATTAGTCCCCAGGAGAAACCAAACCTAGAGTTGAGGGCAACCACAAAGCAGGCCTGGCAGTGTTTAGCACGTGGCACAGGGTCATCAAGTCAGAACCCCTATGCAAGCTATCCAGTAACACCAAGTAACAGGACAAGAAGCACATGCACCTCCAGCAAGGTCTAAAAGAGCTGAAGTGCTGAGCCTGAGCTTAAATAGGGCTCCTGGGCCCATGGGCAATGTGTGAACGTTCCAGGTGAGACTGTTTAAGGCAATTAAGGCCAGTCGTGCACTCAGGGTTCTGGCAATACTGTTATCTAATCAGCAGGAAATAGGAGTACCTGTGAAGCGCGATGTATCTTTCCATGCTCAACAGTTAGCCTAAAATGGCATCCTTTGCTCAGGGAGTGCTTAGTTCTTGTCATTGTTTACGTGAGGACCAGAAATGACTAGCTCAGGAGAGATGCTTAGCATTTACACTGCTATAGTTAGACCAGATGTATTCCTCCAGCTAAGTGCTGTGTGATGACTGAGTGAGTGTTCCCATGGGAAACAACAGTCCAGACCTTGATGTCATTAAAGTATGCATCACAGGGCAGCTTGCAGAGGCTTCTCTGTGGTTACAAATCTCCTCTTCATTCCTGCATTTGGTGCCTTCTGGCTGTTTAACGTGCCCCTTACCCATCTTTAAAAAGAACAAAAAATTTGCATGTCTGATAGAAAATTGAGGCCTTTTGTGTCTGTCAGGCTATGCTATTTCTATTGTGCTCCCACAGACGACATGTAAAAAAAACCCTACAGCCTTTGGTAAAAACTCCCCAATTGTTATTCTAGTTACAAAGTGGCATTGTTCCATTATTTTCAAAGAATTTCTACTGACATAACAAATCATGGCTATAAAACGGATACAATACACAGTCTAGCAAATTGCTTTTAACAGTATGAGAAATCTGTGGACCAGGTCGTTAATGCCATTTCAGTGCTGCCTTTAATTATGCTTCTTCTGGGCTTGTTCTCTTGCCAGCTGTGCTAGCGAGCAATGTCTGACAGTGGCACCATGCCCCAAATACTTTGATGCTGTTCTCACTCAGCGCTCTGCTGTGCTTGGTTTTAGATCTATAACCGGCTAGACAGACACTGCTGTGGATTCAAACCTCTGAAGGAGGATTCCTGTGTGCAGCAAGGACTGGCTCTGAGATGCAGTGATCAGGATGCCGTTGACTTGACGCACATAGTGCAGAGAAGGCACGATCAAAGGCACTTGGCCTTTATAGCCAATAAAGGTTTCTTTGACAGAAGTGAGGACAATCTCGACTTCAAAATACTGCAAGGAATCAATGAGTAAGCTTTAAGTTAATAATTTTGTCAAATGAGTTGCCATATCATAATCTAAAAGCAAGGGACGCTAAGTTACTGGAATAAATAGCAGCAGCCCAAGAAGTGTGTAACGACTTACAGGATGTGTCCAAAAATGTGTGAGTAATCTTAGTTGTGTGAGAGATGCAGTTAACTCATGTATGATTAGGCATGCGTGGGCTTCATTTGCTGAGTCACGGTCTGTATTCGTAGAACTGATTGCTGAACCACAACGTGAATATTGCAATTCAGAGCGATGGCAAAACTGATGATTTTCTTTGTGCTCCTCCAGATTCCCTGAGTCTGCAGTTTCAGTGCTGAGGAGCCAGCGTTTACGGGAGAAGTTGCTTCAGTCTTTGTTCCTTGACAAAGTGTACTGGGAGAGCCAAGGAGGCAGAAAAGGAATTGAAAAGCTTATTGATGTCATAGAAAGGAGGTCCAAAATTCTTCTTACTTACATAAATGCACACGGAGCCAAAATACTGCCCATGAATGAATGAGCTTCTGAGAGACAGTCCTTAAAATAACTTGTGTGGGGCAAAAATCGAGAGTAAAATTCATTTATTTCATAGTTTTATTTAACTTCTATTTTTCCAGACTTCCAGATGTATTTTTGAATAAGAAGCCTTACGTGGCTTAAAAGCATCACTTAAACATCAGCTGCAGCTCAACGCAATGCACTTCTAGGTCGTCAGTGAAATAAAAAAAAGGTCAAATAATACAACAAACGATACAGAAATAAGTATGCACCATGAACACTCCTATTAAACCATTTGAAAATCAGCAACAAGATTTTCAGCACATTAGTCTGGATTCCCTCATTCAAGTCAGTAATGTTTTACTGCAAATTTAAATGGGAAGAGATTTTAGTCACTTCGTACATCAGTGAAAATTGCCATCACATCTGCATGCTGTAACATACAGGAATTCATCTGATTAAGAACACTACAATTCCAACATTTCCAAATGATTATTTTGTTTTATTTTGGTCTTCTGAAATCTGAGGACTGAATTTATCTCTTTTAAGCTTTATTTCCATTGGACACGAGGAAAATTTAGAATCAGAAAGAGGGAAGCATGGCTTTAACAATAATAATTAATTTGACAAATACAGTTTTCACCTGTCTGATGTGGAACACACTTTGTCACGAGTCATTTTTTATAATGTGTTATTTCCAGTGCAGGTTGGTTTGTTGTCTGACTGGGTCATCTGATATTTCTGCTTATTGATTAACTGAGTGTTACTCACACACTCATCCTTCAGCACCACCATTTCATTTTTAGAAATTTAGCTCTGGCTTTGTGTAAATATGCTGCTAAATTGAGTATAATGTTTGTTTTTGCAACATTCTTGACACAGTTTATTAGAATGTTATCAAAAGGCAGATCTAATAGTGACGCAAACGTTGTTAAAATCAGAACTGAAAATCTTTCTGCTGCTTGTTTAGCTCTTGCCAGCAACCCAAGCTCTGGTTTTAAATTAAGACTGACGATTTTGATTCCAACTGATGACTTGGCCCAAATATTCCCATAAGTAAGGTTGTTTGAGAAGCTTGGACAAGCACTTTAGATTCTCAGCCTGGATCTATTCCAGAAAATATTCTGTTCAAAGAGCAAAATATCAACTGCTATAGTCTATCCCAAAATATATCTTCTACCTATCTGTTTAGAAAGGTTCTTACTTTTTTTTTTTTTCTAAATAAATATTTATCCTTTTTTTACCATGAGATAATAGCAGAAGTTAAATGCTTTCATCTATTTTTCATGTATAGTGAAAAAAAAAACAACACCACTAATATAGGATGCAGAGCTTTTAAAGATATTTTTGGAAATGCTTGTGTAACATTTTTCATTATTAGAAACTGAAATGTAAATATGGATGGGTGAAGTTATCTTAAATAACTGCGATTCCACTGCAGCTAAAACAGATTTTCTTCCTTATTATCATAACATCTATTAACAATTGAAGAAATAGATCTAATTGGAGGCAGAGTTAAAGACTCTTAATAAAATTTAAAGAGCTTGGCCATCTAAATAATCTTTTATTTTATTCTGTTAGTAAAGGGCAGATGCACTCTAAAGCTTCCTAGAACTTACCAATTGCCTTGAGAGGACATGTTTTTAAGTGCCTTGGACTTTTTAATGACACCAAAGCAGAATTTTATAGGGTTTTCATGTTATCCCTTTCTTAAAATGTTATATTAGCCAGATAATTTCTATTGCAGAAACAAAAATATTAGTGTAGCTTGCATTTTCACTGAGCCTAGAGAGAGAAATAGTCCTCTGGATCCATTTCGCATGGTATTCCTGTTGCATTTATCACAAATTTCACTCTGATGACTGTTACAATCAATTTGTCCTTTTTTCTAGCCTATCTCAGTTTTCTTCCTGCTAGATACTTTTCTATTGGATTATCACACACTGCTAAGAATGAAGGATGTGACTCTCAGCTGCACTGAACTTCGAAGAGGGCCAAGGAAACGTACAGCACTGCAGTTGATCATGAAAGAACCCTGACTGGAACTTTCCTAGTTTTTCCTCTTCTGGTTCTAAGACAACACACGCAGAGATCTGGAGCATCTCTCCTGTGAAGGGAGGTTGAGAGAACTGGGTTTGTTCAGCCTGGAGAAGAGGTAATCTGCAGGACAGAATGATGTCTAGGCTTCAAAGGAAGTCTATATCAAGTCTTCTCAGAACTCCTGCAGGGACTGATAAACTCAGAGTGAATATGCACAACAGGATAAGCTGTTCCTTTCCAAGGGCCAAGGAATACTTCTTTCTGTGAAATTCTGAGTTTGAGCACACTCTAGGAGGTGTGCTGTGTATGCTGCATCATGTTCTCACCTTACAATCATGTCTTAGTATTATTTTATGTGAAGCTGGGAGCATTGCTGTCTATATTGCATTAAAATGCCCCATTTCCAAGTCCTACCAACACTCTTGTCTTCAGACAGTCAGGAGAGGCTCGTGGAGGCTGGCAGTGGGACTGCAAAATGCTCCTAATCCAGTAACATTGATCAAAACTCCAGGAAGTGTCTTTTCTTCCTGACGTTTATACTGTTGTATATCTTTGTGCTTGAGTTTGGTACAAGGAATGATTGGTAGAGTGTGTCTGAGTACACACAAGCCCAGTTCTCTCATTTTCTTTTCTTCTTTCAAAAATGAAGAATTCTGTACTTTTTGAGTGTACTTGGGTAAACGCTTCAGTAAAAAATACAGAAGAAGCACTTTGTGTAGCTTGTTTATTCACTGCTACTACATTCAAGACATGGGCTCTCCTCTCAGTAGGACTTAAATGTACTGAGAAATCAGTCCATTTCCTTCTAAAACAGCATGAACTTGGACTGACATTCCTGCACAGAAGCCTAAGTAATACTGACAGACAGAAAGAAAAGGAAGAAGCCTTGATCTACCTATGGTAGGGATCAGCTGAGAGCCAAGGAACTAGGTTTTAGTCATTTCTGCTGGGCTGCCTTCCATTTAAGGGCATATGGGACCAGACAAATATTCCTGCTGCGCATTACTCGGAAGGGTGTAACCAGCGGCAACAGTCCAAAATCTGTGGGTGGGAAAAGAAGATTATGTCATTCTTGAATCTCCCTGAAAGCCAGAACCACATAAAATGGAGTAACTAAGAAAATCAGGAGGGTTCGCTGATTTCATAACATTGGAAGACGGAGCTTAAAATAAGTAGCACAGGCACAGATGCCTTGAAATTCCTCAGGAGCTTGCCAGCAAGTTTATAATCTTAAGACTTTTCAGAAGCTGAGAACATGAAAACTTTTGTGGAGCGCTGTGGGAGAAATGTCTCTTTCTTTTTCTCTTTCTTTTTTTTTTTTCCCCATACATTCTATCACGTGCTATGTTAAAGAAAGATAAATTCCAC